ATGACAAGTTCCTGCAAATTTGAAGCTCCATCTTCCAGGAAGGGGGGGGGGGGGGGTTGGAGAGAACACTGAATCTCGTTTTAGGAGGATGTGAATTTCATTCCGTTTCCCCCCCCCCCTGGGTAGCCACTCCTGAGGGATTATTGTCAAGAAAGAGACCAACCATCAGATAGATTCTGACTTGTAGATGACGAATAGTAGCTTTTTGTTTGTGACGCACCTTTTCGTCAGCGGTTCTCGTTCTATCTGTACATTTAGCCCTTTCTCCTCTACCCAATAGGTGAGATGAATTCCTTTGAAATTCATTTCTAAAGGTTCTCCGCTTCCTTTAACCTTCCCTCCCTCCATGGAGATCGAGCGGATATTTGGAGGCCTATAATGGGGAAAACAAGTATTTCCCGGTATAACAAATAACCTGGAAGATCGCAAGTACTCACCAGCCCCTAGGCGTAGGATAGATACAGAACGTTGTCAGTGCTGCCAGACTTTTTTCCATTGAGGAACGAAGATAGTATGAGTTAGAGTGTCATGCAGGAGACTGTTCAAACTTAATCTCATTTCTTGAAGCTCCCAGTCGTTTTTTTCCTTGAATATCCTCGGGGAGGACAGAACTCGAACCATGCAACGAGGAAAGATGGCATCTACTGCTTGAAAAGTCGATGAATCTGATAAATGGAATATAACAAGCTCCCGAGGCAGGTCAACTCCGTTGGCTTGCCTGTGGACCTGAATGTTCCCGTATAGGCTTTCTCGTATATCTTTGTTATTGTTATTGTTCATGTTCATTAATGATCGGGTAATTCTATTAATTGCAGAAAGGGGTTTATTTATAATTATTCTTCTAATGGTCAGAGCAGGTCTTCCTTTCTGACATCCCCATTTTACCCTGTGTTCAATGCTCTTGCTCATCTCATGGTCAAAATAGTTTCGACCACTCAGAGCGAAGAGAGCGAACATCAGAGATTCTTGGAATTGCAACATGGGGGGCCGGAGCCATGAGGTTGTTTTGATACTGTAGACGCTCGTGTAAACACATTTGACTCTTGCTAGAGGATATGATATTTTCCATTTCTTCTTTCTTCCTTGGGGCCTTAGACTCGCTTATTCCCTTCACTACTTATGCAGATCCAGTGTATACTATTATTCCATGTCTTTGAACGATTCAGTGGTCATTTTATAGAGTTTCGTTTAGTTGAGGTCATTCCGAAGATAAGCCCCTCGCGGAAAAATCTTATAGGATCCTATAAGAGCCTTACAGGTTTCCTATAAGAATCCCATTATATTTTTCTTTAAAAAATCCCTCACGATCCTATATGATCATTTCTTAAGGTACGCCATGCAGGAAATTTTCTTTCAGTAACTTGAGAAAGCCAAGTGCCTCATGCATGAAATTAAATCCTGTCGAAATCCGTGAAATACCGTTCTGTTTATTCGTACTTCATTGACAGTGACGATAGTTCATACACTCCCTCGAGTCCCCCTTCTTAAAAAAAGGAACCACCACACCGGTTTGCCAATCCCTATGTGCCGTTCCGGATTCCCAAGCAGCCCGACACACCCTTTAAGGCCACGAGCACCCATCTGTACCCATTGCTTTCAGAGTCTCCGTCTGGATTTCATCCACACCAGGAGACTTCCCATTCTTCAGGCTAGCAATGGATGCAGAACTTCCTCCAAGGTGAGATTAGTTTCCGTGCTGAGAGGCTCCAGGACGGGTAGGTCAGCGTCCGCTGTTGGTGGGTTTAAGAGCTGTTCAAAGTGTTCCTTCCACCTCCCAAGTATATCCACCTCGGCAGCCAACTCCTCCCCATTTCTGTCTTTCATGACCCGGAGAGTATGCTGCCTACCTTGTAACCTTCGGATGGTTTGCTAGAACGCTTTGGTGACAGTGCGGTAGTCCGATTCCATTTCATCGAAAAATTTATTCACGTCACAACACGAGCAGTAGTTCGGCGTACCGCGGTGCAGCATGCCCTCGAAGAGTCTGACCAACCGAACATGTACTCCCTGTAAGCCACCTTCTTGGCGGTAACAGTCTCGCGTACCTCTGGTGTCCACCATGGAGTACGCTTGACGTTACCGCGCGCCATCCCGATGTTCCACTCTCCACACTCTTACAGCCACCGCCAAAATATCAGACCGAAATAGAGCCTATTCCACACCCTCGTATCCATCACAAGGCCCCACAAGTCCTCCGAAGCAATCAGATAATCGATCAGCGATCGATGGGACACAGTACCGGTCTGACTATCAGACCCCCTGTGCCAGGTATTTTTTGGATATCATTGTCTTTGAAGGTGCTGATGAACGTCAGGCCATTGCCAGCACAGAAGTCCAGCAACTTCTTGCCATTCCCGTTCAGCGTGGCTTCCCCACACCGACCGATCACACCACTCCGTGTAGCTTCGTCTCTCCCAACTCGTGCATTGAAGTGCCTCATCAGTACAACAAGGTCACTGCTCGGAATCCTTTCTAAGGTTCCATCCACCTCCTCCGAGAATGCTTCGTAATCCGACTCGCTGTTCTGCCCATCAACCCGTACGACGGCCAAGAATCGACACGCTCCAGTCTGAGGAGGGTCAGAGCGACCCGCTCGCTGACTGGGTTCCATTCAATGTCGCTTTCGACCGGTTGGGAGTAATGAGTATCCCTACTCCAGCCTGAGAGAACACGGTCGAGTCGACTCCGCTCCAGTAGAGGGTCCATCCGTGGTCTAGGGAAATGGAACCGGTGCCTTTCCTCTTGGTTGAGGCCAGACCAAATATATCTAGTCGACTCCTCCTAGTCTCCTCCACGAGTTTAGACTCCCTATCGCCGGGTGTTAGTACATTCCAAGTCCGAAGTCCGTAGCCAAGGTCGTTTACCGTTCGATTCCGTTCCTGGTCTGCCCTTGGGGCATCGTGCCGAAAGTAGGCTATGGCCGGTGGCATGCCGCCGATAGGCCTGGATGTAGCATGACGCGGTCCGACGCACCCAGAGACATCGGATTGCCCGGCCCCAGTAGCCAACTTATCAATTGTCACCCTGGACGCACAGTGACTATCGCAGTCCTGATTATCCTGGGCGACGACTGAGCCAGTATGGAATACGCGAACCGAACTCAGCATGCTGGATTTGGTCCGTCTTGGTTTACCTGAGATACTACTGCCTTCTGCATCACTGGGGTCCATCCTCGCGACGTGGACGCGCGAACCACTGAGGACAAGTAGTTGTCCATTCATGAAAAAATGCAATGGCCTACGCGCGTGTTATATTGCATAAATACAACTTCCAGGATGTATTTATCTAATTGGGTTATGCACAGTATTACGTGCCTCTACTTACGTAGGTGCAATAAAAATTGAGTCATAAAATATGTCTTATCAGACAAAACACCCAAATGGCTGTCTGCCGCATCCCGATTCTTTGAGCCATGGTCTGTGGAACACACGCTGTTTGAAAAGCATCAGGCTCGGCATGCAGCCTTTGACTGAAAAATAGTCGAAGGCATCGATTGCGCAACGGAGCAGAATTCCGGACCCGACCTGACTGATCCTTGAGATTACGACTGACTAACGTCACTCCCCTAGTCCCCCATAAATTGGCAGAATGTGCTAAATTTAGAAATGAGAAGAGACTTTCTAGGGATGCCATGAGGAGGTAGTTCTAACGGAAAGAATATTTTGAATTCGTCATGCGGAACAGTTTTCTCGCTTCAGACGAAAAAATAACTTCGTAATACCGAGCAATTCGTTTTATAGAACTTCGTTTTATAGAAAATTTTCAACGTGGATGTGAATGAGCAATCGGTCGGGAACTGGGAAAAATTTCGCAATAAAGAAAATTCGTTATAGAGAGGTTCGTTATAATGAACGTCACCTTTATATTTATACATACTGTATACAGGGTGACTCAAAAGTCCTTGGACACCTTTAATCAAGTGTAGCATTCTCAAATAAAAACCAATTTAATTTCTGATTTGACCAGTGCAAAGATCACAAAAAAACTAAACCAACCATGTTTTTATGTTTCAAATATATCACCATTTGAGGTAATAACCTGCTTCAGACTTTTTGGAAAATCATTTACGGTTCTTCACAACTGATCAATCGGCAATTCATTCCATTCCTTCAGGAGATCAAGCTTCAAGCTATTGATACTCTTGTGTGGCTTGCAGCAGACCTTGGCCTGCAAGTAGGACCACACACTGTAATCCAATAGATCCAAATCAGGACTACTAGCAGGCCATTCTTCTGGGGAAATCAAGTCAGGAAAGTGAGTTCTGCAGAAGTCGATGGTGGATTTTGCCTGGTGAGCCGGTACTAAGTCCTGCTGGAATGTCCAAGGCTGGGATTTGAAATGTTCCTGAGTCCAGGGGAGTAGCACCTTCTTCAACACACTCTTGTTAGTAGCTGGCATTGATCTTGGCCTGAGGCTGCACAAAATGCAGGGGAGTTTTGCCAGAAGCACAAACACCACCCCACACCATCACACTACCTGGTTTTTGAACTCGAATTCTTCAACACACTCTTGATAGTAGCTGGCATTGATCTTGGCCTGAGGCTGCACAAAATGCAGGGGAGTTTTGCCAGAAGCACAAACACCACCCCACACCATCACACTACCTGGTTTTTTAACTCGATGGACATATCGCTGGTGAGACTTGAAAGAGGAAAGCTTTTTACCCCAGAGGCGATTGTTTTGGGGGTTGTAAGCTTGCTCTACAGTGAACATTTTTTTGTCAGAAAAAACAATCCTTTGGACTGAGGACTGGTTAAACCGTTTGAGCAACTGGCGGGACCTTTGAACTTGTTTCTTCTTGCTGATCTCTGTAAGCAGCTGCACCTTTTGTTTTTTAAGAGGCTTCATGCAGAGCTTTCCCCTGATGTATCTTCGCAAGGTCTCTTTATCCACTCCCAAGGTTTGCGCAAACTTTCCTCCAGAATGCTCTGGATTTCGGCATAGCATTTGCCTGACTCGTTCCTGGAGCTTCTTATCCTGGAACACGGAAGGACGTCCACTTATTTGGCGATCTGCTGCTGATCCAAGCTCATTGTATCGCCGAAAAATGCTGTAGATAGTAGATCGAGGGGTTTTGGTGAGCTTTGAGATCCTGCTTGCTGGAAGACCACTCTGGTTTTGAAAAATCACTTCTTCTCTTTGATGTTTGGGAACCGTATCAAGAGCTATCGACCTGAAACTTGGAAGGCAAATAGATCTGATGTAAAAAGTTGCTTCACTCAAAAAATCACCTGGGTATCACTTGTCCAACGGTTTTTTCAATAGGTGTCCAAGGACTTTTGAGTCACCCTGTAATCTGTCACCTTTGCAAATCACCCACTCATGTCATGATTTGTGTCGTCGTTTATCGAAAACTTGACTCAGAATCCATCTGGTTCGGTCTTTCAGCGTGGAAAAATTAAAATCCATCCCCAACCGATTGTTGGAAAGTCTAATTCTTGCGCACACCATGTGAGAAGCAGGTTTTCTCCATGCAACTTAAGGAAAAGACTCTTGTCAGTGTCCTCTACAATCTTTGTCAGTTTTTTCATGATGAAAAATCTCGATACCTATGGCATAAAAAGAGAGAAAAAAGTTATTTGGAAAACTTGTTCTTTAAGTTGTGCAAAACGGTAATTACCCTTAAGGTTTGTTTGATGAAAATTTTGGAGATATGGTAGCTCAATCTGGTTCTGAATTACCACCTGGAACAATGACATAAACATCCCCCTGTCTCCATTCCTATTACTGGCAAGCCCGAGGAGTAAGCATGGTGCCTTATTCAGAACACTGGAGAAATGTTTCATTCATTTCGAAGCTGTGATACTTGTTCATCTACGTTCCTTCGTGCGTTCCAGTCACATCCATTTACCAAGGCATGGAGAGAAGCTATTAAGTATAATTGTATTCTGGAATGTGTTAAAATATTTATGAGAATTGGTTACACCTGGTCAGCATTTGTCATATAATGTAAGAATTTTCAGTTTCCAGTCCTAGTAAACTGAAAATCGCAATGAGCCTCAGAAATGCAACTGAAAAACTGTTTTGATCTAGCTGTCTGTCATTACCGAGTCATGACTTGGGAGCGCTTTTTTTGCCCAAAGAAAAACTAAAATTTCGGCTCATTTTCCCCCATCTTTGCACCAATATCTCAGTTATGAGTATGACCATTGATCGTTACCTGCAAACCGAGTAGTAACCAAGAGTAGATACTGACATTTTGCATCATGAAAAAACTGACAAGGGTGATAGAGAACACTGACACGAGTCTTTTCCTTAAGGCGCATAGAGAAAACGTGCTCCTCGCATGGCGTGCAAGAGGAGAAGCAGGCTTTCCAAGAAGCGGTTGGGGACGGATGTTAATTGTTCCACGCTGAAAAACCTAACCAGATGGATTCCGAGTCAAATTTTGGACAAAAGATGGCACAAGTCATGACTGAGTGGGCGCTTTGCAGAGATAAATAGATTAAGCTGTCGGAAGATATAACATTTTTTGCAGATGCTCCGATAGGTGCTGAGAATTTCGCTCACGAAAAAGTGTTGCAAGACTTTTGGAGGGCAGTTTTTTTTTCTCAGATGTCATTCTTATGACAAGAACCATTCCAATTACTTAAGGAGGTAGAGAGAGTGGGATCTGGGGAGGTTGCATTAGCTCGAGTGAGAGAGTTTTGGAAGTAACAAGCCTCCATAAATATTTCGTGATTCTTTTATATCGGTTTTATCCCCGCGGCAGCTGATTCGATTCTTCGACACTCACTTTTAGTGCTCACGATTGCTCACTCAAAAGTTTCGGAATGCCCATGAAATGAGGAGAGGGATGTAGCTACCTCCAAGTTGCGTTTTGACTTGTACTGACGGCGAGAGGAGTCCAGGACCGTAGGCGTTGTGTCCATTCACCCGGATGGTATAGACTGTGAATGGTGTCAAACCGGAGACGATGGTGAAATTGTTTCCACTTGCCACTTGCTTTGACCACACTGCTGTTTCCAGGATAGGGTTGCTGGTGTAATGTACCTCGTGTGTCAGGGGATACTAAAGGAAGAGATAATCAATATATCATCCACCCATTCAAGATATGGATTAAAACGCCGTGAATTTCATGGTAACGGAGGAGAGACCCAATCCCTTTTCAGCAAACACTTTTCCTCCATGTCCTACACGGATTCCTTATCGAAAATTTGTTGACGATCGTTATTGAGCGACTCAGGGAGTGAGAGAGTGAGTGCCTGACGCTTATTCCAACCATGTTCTAGTATAAAAAATTTGAAACTTGGAACACCAATAGCGCTCTTGGTGCTTGGTACTGATATAAGGAAATATCCCACTTTTGGAGAAAATCGGCTGGGAGGACGTTTTCCTTCAAATTTTCTTGATGGAAGAAAATTTGTTTCCAGTTGTGTTGGAAAAGGTATTAAATTAATAATAATACCGGGGGGGGGGGGGAGTTAAACGAAGAATCTCTTCACTGCCACCCTCTCAAAAATTAAAGTAGGTAGCATTTTTCTTAAGTTGACAAGCGTAACTGACACATGCTTAATATAATTATGTCCCACAAATTTCAAACAGCTGAAACGGTGCATATATGGCCATTTGTATCGTACATGTTTTGCTGCATTTGTTTCATCCAGCGCTTGCTTCGTTCGCGTATACTTATTAAGTGCTGATTTCGGGGGAAAATCGTAATTTTTGGGTACAGAACCTTCATGTCACAACTTTGCTTTCATGCACTGTCATTCCATAACTTTTTTGCGAGAGCGAGAGTTCTTGCAGTTGTGAGGTTAGATGTAATTTAGGAATAAAAATTTTAATTGGGGATTTTTATGGGAAAGTTAAGAATCTCCCCTCCACCCTCACCCCCAATAAGAAAATTTAAAATTTGTTGTCCCTTTTTGCGGAGAAATCAATTGCCACTTCTTTCCACCAGCAACACGAGTCACTGATTTTTGGCAGTTACAGTTTGCCAAATCAGTTGGCATTTTTACCAGTAGACCCAAAGAAATGAAAAGAAAAAAGAACAATAGTTCAGACACACGAAACTTGGTGATACGAGAAACAACATATTGTTAAGCGCAAAAGGACAACAACAGTCACATGTTGGAAGTGGCCACCGCCATGTTCAACACAAATCTGCCATTGTTGTTACAATCTGTTCCCATCAACATGTTTCGCCGTGTGGTGTATTGAGTACGGCGGTGGCCACTTCCAACATTTTTTGCAACATTGTGACTGTAAAATTGTCATTTTTTTGTCATTTGGTACTTTGTCATTTGTCATTTGGTACTTTGTCATTTGTCATTTGGTACTTTGTCATTTGTCATTTGGTACTTTGCAATGCCTTGGTTCTCATATCACCAAGTTTCATGTTTATCTGAATTATTGTTCTTTATTTCATTGCATCTTTTTTGATTAACTGTTAAATTGAACACCCTGTATGTCCTGCTAACTGGAAGATTTTCCTTGGACGTCAAAAACCGGGGAACATGATTCCCAAGTAACATTTTCTACAATCAGTTATGTTTTACCACTTCATTTAAAGAAGTGAAGCGCCGAAGCCGTGAATATTGGGAATTTGTTTGACCTTCGAGCAAACAAACTCGCTGGATGCAAATAATTTCAAAATTTGCCTTTCCCTAGACAAGCAATTTCGCGTCCAGGTACTATTTTGTGAGAATAAGCCGGTCCCTTTAATCGAAAGTGCATTGATCCTGGGAAATAAATGCAGGGTCTTTCTAAAGTCGCGCAACCTTATATATAAACAAGTGCTGTTGCATGTTTCTGTTGGAATATATACACATAATCTCTTGCTTGACGTATCGTTGGTCCCGCGTTTTTCACAGAAACTGGGAATGCTGAACATTATCAACACATCATTCAGCAATATATCGCCACGATAGAAATTGACGAACGCGATTCGTGCTTTCAACAAGACGGAGCAACCGCTCATAAGCAAGAATCTCTGGTCTCCCACTATTTTCTGTGAGGATAACTTAACGAAAGAGTATACGCTAACCGTCCATCCATCCATCGAGACTTGGAAACGTTGAAGCATAACATTGCACAAGCCATTGCCCGCATTACTCGTGCGACCTTACACTATGCGCAACATGCGCACATGCGCGTAATGTGCTTGCAGGAACGCGATGGTCACTTCCAAAACTTGCTATTACACTTTTTTCATAGGTAAGATGTGTTCCTTCTATATTAAGCCAGTTTTGATTGATTCAACTCAATTTAAGTCGCTCAAAAAACGTTGTACATGATGGGTTGCGTGACTTTTGAAAGACCCTGTATTTGCCATGCATTTCCTAGTACTTCCTAGTCCGTGCAATGCGAAAGAGGATCGTCTCACCGTCATTTCTAAGGAAGACTCTGTGGGTTTGTCCCACTGGATCATGAGGGAGGTTGAGCTCAAGGCTCGCGCCTTCGCGTTGCTCGGGACCGAGGGCGTCCGGCGGAGTGAGGGGGTCCTTCCTGAAACCAGATGTCTCTGTAGCCAATCGGAGTCGTCGTTGTCATCTTCAGGAGCACCATAATGAGGGAAAATGTGCTTTTCTTGAGCATATTCAGCCTGTGAACTTTGAAACTACCGGACCCTGGCGGCCAACAACAGGATTTACAGGCATGAACCTATTGGGGGAAGAATCCCCTCCACAGAAGGCGAAAAGAAATCGTCGAATCTCTTAAAGAAAGGAAAGGTGTCGATTTTCATCAATATCTAAATCGTTCTAAATCCCTTATAAATCATTTGAGATATCGCACATGAAAACGGCGGTCATGGTGGGATGGTATGCAAGTAATACATTTCGATTGGGCTATTTCGATTGCGCCAGCAAACCATTATTCTAGCAAGACGTGTTACGATTCACCTTTCAGGAACTTTCTTGAATTTCAACCATTTTTAAAGGAACTAAACGAGGGAAGAACTTCTGGCAATGATTTCATGAGCACACTTGAGTTTGCCCTCATGTATCTCTGTAGTATGAAGAAGAAACATGTATATTGGGCTACATTTATATTTGATTGATTTTCAGAATAATATTACCCTCTATGCATAATTGGCCTTTGGACCGTCTCCTTGGTTAGGTCATCCAGGCATTAGAGAGCGGGCGGATCTTTGGACACCCACAAAGGGTGTCCAAACTCTGGTCTCCAGGGCATGACAAATGACTTTGTAGAAGGCCTGTCATTGTTTCCCCCTCGGCCCCCCATCGGGTACATCTCAAAGAAGTCGAAGAGAAATACGAGTGTGACACACATCAAATCATTTAAACTTAAAAAATGAACATTAAACAACTCTTCTTGAACATCTCCGGGTAGGACGCGATACGAATTTTCCCATGGGCGAAAGAAGGCCAAATCTGAGCCAGCCCGAGGCAGGTCAACTCGGTTCGCTTGCCCCGAGGACATGGATAATTCCATCAGGTGTCTCATTTCTCTTCGTTCTCATTCTTACAAAGGACCGGAGAAGTTGCCTTTAGTGAAAGCCAGGGTTCTTATCTCCAACCCGCTCTCTAATGCCTGGATGAACCATAACTCTCCTGCTTGTGGAAGAACACCCAGTCGGAAAAAAAGTATTTCATTGCAAAAAAAAACAGTTGCTTTGGTCAGCTAGGACAGAGATTGGTGCTTTGGGAGCATTGTGTGACGATATCCAGGTGTAACCATCCCACAAAGGAGATGTCTTTCCAGTCACTTTTATAATTGATATAGAATGGAATTCACTGATATTTTCCAATTAATCGCACCTTGAGTGCATTGAGTAGAACCACCCTTGAAGCTTCACACGGTCAGACATTTGACTCGGAATGGCGATGACCAGAAAAAAAAGTCAATTCAGTACCTAATGTTGGTGGAGTCCAGGACATCCAGGACGGATTTAGCCCTCCCCACAAAGCCGTTGGCCGCCGCACCGGCGTCCTCGCCGTCGAGGTGGTCGTGGAATAGATCTCTGGAAGAGTTAAATAAATAACAGTGGCTTCAGTGATACAGTTGTACGGTTGCAATGAAGTATTTACATTTTTTTTAAACTTTGTTTCGAAGCAAAAAATTTTCCGGGATATGAATATTCAGCTGGAATTAAGTCAAGTGGCTAATCATATCCTAACTTCGTCATTTCCAGCTAAATATTTCGATGTTTCTTGGAATATTTTTTGCTTCGAAACCAGTTTTCTGTCAAGTTGAAGTAAAACAGGCAGTGTTGGGCGCGTTACTTGTGAAAAGTAACTAGTTACAATTACAAGTATTTCATCCAAA